CTATCTGGTATGTTAACTAGTATTTTGACAATAACAGAAACAAAAAGCAGTTTCCCTAAATAACTTTCAGAAGCATTTCATCTCAGGGTCAGGGGAGAATTTACTTCCTGAAAGGCCTATTTTTCTTTTTACCTTAACAGAGGAGATAGTGCTATTAAGAGGCCTTGAAGGAAAATTTATGTACTCCTTGAACAACTCTGAATTAGGCAGGTGGTAGAAAAAAGTAGAAGAAAGTATCAGAGAATAACTGTAAATAATGCTGAATAAAAAAATTTCATCCTTGGGAGTTGGGGGATGGGCATAATGGCTGAAGGTGGCCAAAAGGCACAAACTTCCAGTTACAAAATAAGTGGGGGTAAGGAGAGGGTGATTGGGTCATGGACACTGGGGAGGGTATGTGCTATGGTGAGTGCTGTGAAATGTGTAAGCCTGACAATTCACAGACCCGTACCCCTGGGGCAAATATTACATTATATGTTAATAAAAATAATTAAAAAAAAAGTCCTGGGGATGTCAGGTACAGCATGGTGACTAAAGTTAATAATACTGTATTGCGTATTTGAAATTGCTAAGGGAGTAGATCTGAAAAGTTCTGATCACAAGCAAAAACATTCCTTGACATCCCGTGGTCAATACTGAATTGTTATGTTGTGCACTTGAAGCTAATATGATGTATGTCAGTTATACCTCAATAACAAATGGCATCGTAACTGTAAATCGTAAGAATTTGCCAGTTTTGAAACTTTAGATGTATCAAGACATAGAAGTAGAGTGAAAGTGTTTTCTTTAAAGTAAAATTCGAGGGGCCTGGCTGGCCCAGTTGGTTGAGTGTCTGACTCTTGATTTTGGCTAAGGTCATGATCTCAGCGGGGGAGTCTGTTTGAGGATTCTGTCTCTGCCAAATAAATAAATATATCTTTGAAAAAATAATAAAATAAAATTCCTGAATTGGTTCTAACCACTGGGTTTATTTTATTTTTTTTTTTTTTTTTTTTTTTTTTTTTAAGATTTTATTTATTTATTTGACAGAGATCACAAGTAGGCAGAGAAGCAGACAGATAGAGAGAGGTGGAAGCAGGCTCCCTTACAGAGTACAGAGCCCGATGTGGGGCTCGATCCCAGGACACTAGGACCATGACCTGAGCCGAAGGCAGAGGCTTTAACCCACTGAGCCACCCAGGTGCCCCCACTGGGTTTATTTTTGAAAAATCATTTTTGTGTTTGTGTTAAGTATAAATACTTGTAGAGAAATTGGAAATTAAAGGAAAATATGAAAAAATCAGAAAGAATTAAATGGTCAGGCTACCACTGTTCATATTATATTCCTGCTTCCTGGGTGTGGCTATTTAAATTTAAACTAGTTAATGTTTGTAATAAAAATTTAGTTCCTCAGTTACACTAACTGTACTTTAATAGCTGTATGGAGCTAATGGCCACCACACTGGACAGTGGATATTGAACATTCGAACATTTCCATCAAGGTAGAAAGTTCTTTGGGAGTCACTGCTCTAGAGAGTGGAAGAGGATCCAGCTAAGTCATCTCTGAGGCTAGTCAGTGTGTAGAATGGTGATCCAGGAAAAATGCACAATTGTTCTTGGCTAGTTTGCTGCTGGATGTGTTACACAGTTTGCTGGTTCCTTTAGCATTAAAAAAAAAAATAGGGGCACCTGGGTGGCTCAGTGGTTAAGGCCTCTGCCTTCGGCTCAGGTCATGATCTCAGGGTCCTGGGATCGAGCCCCACATTGGGCTCTCTGCTCAGTGAGGGGCCTGCTTCCCTTCCTCTCTCTCTGCTTGCCTCTCTGCCTACTTGTGATCTCTGTCAGATAGATAAATAAAATCTTAAAAATAAAATAAAATGAAATAGACATTAAAATTCTGTTCCCTTCTGGTATTCCTGGTCTTTTACCAGATGTAGTGGAAAAGCCAGCATCTCTGGGCCCACATACCCCTGGGCTTCTGTCGCCTACATCCAGATCATGATCACGTGATTCCTATGACTTGCTAACCAAGCAGATGTCCTGGCTGAAGAATAGAATAGGTGCTCATAAATGCAGAGTGGATTGTTACTATTTTTAAGGGCCAAGTAAGGTAAGGTTCTGCTCGTAGATGAGACACCAGCTCTTTTGAAATGACCCAGTGATGGAGAAGGAAGGGAGGTCCTATCACTCATGGGAGGCAGACAAACACAGGTGAATGTACCCTTTCTCCACCTTCTCATCTGGGTTTTCACTTTTTTTGGCTCAGCTAGCAATTCTTCCCACCCTCAAATTCTGGGAACGCACTATTAATGCATTTTATCTTACAATTATTCTAGGTCTTTCTTACACATACAAAGTCTTGGTTGATTGCTGCCTACTCCTCAAGTCTGAAGATAATGGCGTTTTTGTTGAACTAGGAAAGGATCAAGGGAGAAGGAACTGGAGTTTCTTTATCTTCCTGCCTTTTCTTTCTCACAAAGGGGGGGGGGATTTTTCTACGCTAGGAGGGGAATGATTTTCAGAGCTCTGAGCTCCCATGCTTCTCAGTACCCTCAGAGGGGCCTGCCCTGCACAATGTGTGTGTGTGTGTGTGTGTGTGTGTGTGTGTGTGTGTGTGTGTATACAGGGACAGACTAATGTGAAACAGCTTGGATGCAGACATAGCAATAGGGTCTCTCACAAAGAAGGTTCCAAACTCAGAAAGTGACTGACTCTGTTACTCGATAGCTGCTCCAGTAATGAGTGAGATGGTTTTGGTTGGCCTGCCCTGTAGAAATGTTGAGATGCTGCTCTGTTTGAACAATCAAAACCCAAATAAAATATCTTACACTCATGCAGCCTCCACAGTTTGCCAAATCTGTTCTCAAGCATCATGTCATCTGATGATAAACTTATGGGCTGGGACCAGACATTTGCAGAAGAGAAAACTTAGGCCCAGAGAGGTGAAGTGACTTGCTCGAGGTCACACAATAGTGGGTGGTGTGGCTGAGTTTTGAATCCCAAGGGTCTCTGCTGAGGACGTTGCTTTCCTTCTGACTCATATTTTGGGATCGTAAAATAAAACACACCTAAGTCGGGTAATGGGTGACACAAATATGAGAGTTTAAAAGATAATGTTTGTTGAGTGCCCATAATAGGAGGTTGAGAAAGGGGCTGCTTAGTTGGGTGGTCTGGGCCCTGCTCTCAGGGATCTTTACTTGAAACATTTGAAGCAGTACATTTACTAGCAATAAATACATATCATCCCAGAACAAATTGGATGCTTTAGGGCATATGGACACTGAGAAAATGACAGAATCCTTTATAGAAGGCGTCCTGAAAGAAAGGGATTTTGAATCAGACCCTGAAGGATATGCACAGACTAATGGGAGGGCATTCTAGCCGGATACAGAGGCATGGTTGGGTTCAGTTTTAAGAAAGAAGAAAAGAGCACTTGTTTATTATTTTTTGAAAATTTGCCCTGCAGAAGACCTTGTGTACAGCTGGGTTTAGAGTGGTGTACAAAAGAGACATGGCCCCCCACTTCATATAACTTAGACTTCGGGGGGAAAGACCAATCATTGATTGTTGGTAATAAAATAATTACGTAAGTATTTCAGATTAAGATTTGCTATAAACGAGAAAGGTGGAATTCTATGAACGCATACGGTACAGTGACATAAATTCCACTAACATTTGAGCTGTCACGTGAGGGAGTGGAAGTTAACTAGAAAAAGTGGTTTTGGTATAGGGAACAAAAGGAGGAGTGCTCAGAGAGAGGAGTGAAGCATGTGCAAAGGCCCTGGGAGGATCAGAGGGGCTGGAAAAAGGCCTCAGTGCTGGTGTTGAGAGAGCAGAATGGTGAGTGGTGAGTGGCAGGAGGTGAGGCTAGGGAGGAGGCACAAGCTTGATCAGATTTTGGTCTTTATTTTAATAACTGGGAAACCTCTGAAGGATTTTAAGCATAGTGACAAGACTGACATGGTCAAATTTTCTTTTAAAAAGATCACTTTGGCTGCTGTGTGCCAGTGTTTTGGAGGAGGAATAATAGAGGTTATGCCGTAACCCCTTAAGAGACTATTATGGGGATCCAGGCTAGACATGGTGAGGTGGTGCAGAGTGGTGGTAGCCGAGATGGGGAGAAGTGGTGAGTTTCCAAAGGGATTTAGAAGATCAAGTCTACAGGTGGAATTTGGTGATATGCTAGGTAACAGAGAAGCAGATGATAAGGATAGTTTTTGAGTTTCGGATGTTTGGGAAGAAGAAGAAATCAGCTTTGGGTAATCAGGAAGGCATTTGGGTCTCTGGGTCTGGAGCTCAAGGAAAGAATGGGTTGGGATTGACTGTGGAGATCCCGGGCACGTGAGTGACCAGTGGGCATGGATGAGCTTTCCCAGAGAGAAAGGAGCATGAAATGAGAGAGGAATAAAGCAGTGAGGAAGCTTGTTGGCCAGGTCGAAGAGAACGAGCCAGCCCAGCAGCACTGGAGAGGTTGGAGGAGAACCAAGAGATCCCTGAGCATCATGTCGTTGAGGTGGAGTAAAAATATATAAAATAGGGGGCGTATCTGTCACTTTCTCTCTAGACCCATTTCCTCATCACAACCCCAAAATCCATTAGGTGCAAACCACACAACTCTAGATCCAAGACACTTGCATTGGGCAATGTTACAAGTGTATTTATTTATTTTTCCATTACTGTGACAGATTGCAGTCTGTTTGTGTTTTCTGCGGGGAACAATAACCTCCTTTCCTTTCTCTTACGTCGTTGCGCTTTTGGCTGTCCCTGACTGCACCTTGTTGCAAATCTGAGCTTGTTTAATCCCATGGAGTACTAAACACTATCTGGTCTCGGTGGCTGTGTTAATTCTACTGCGGGCGCCCAACTTCATGTGCCAGCTGGGATCCCTTAATGAGCGAGCTGCACACAGTTCAATGTGAAAACTATTTTCTCTGATGCAATGTGTTTGAAGAACTCACTCCTGGAATGTTCTACGTCACAACTGCTTCCAGGCCGTCCCTGGCATTCTCTCTCTTTGCAGGATGGCTGTCGCTCCTCCGAGTTACTGTTTTGTGGCCTTCCCACCACGTGCTAAGGACGGGCTGGTGGTGTTTGGGAAAAATTCAGCTCGGCCCAGGGATGAAGTACAGGAGGTTATGTATTTCTCGGCTGCTGATCATGAACCCGGGAGCAAGGTTGAGGTAAGTCCCGTGTTACAGTCTCTCATTGGCGCTCATTCCCTTCCTCCGGCTTGGCTCAGCGTACCTTTCCTTAACTGGGCTCACTGGTCAGAACTGCCATGTCGGTCTGTTGATTCCTGATCCCACACAAGTTTGTTCGTGGCCTTAAAAACAGGATCACACGGGGACTAATACTACATTCGTGGCTCTAGCCCTTCTTTTACAAGTAAGTAAAATATTTACATGGTTCCAAAGTCAAAAGTATAAAATAAGGTGTATTCATAGAAGTCTGGTATCTTTCTTTGTCTCATTTACTCTACTTACTTTTTTCCTTTTTCTTGAAAGTTTTTTTGGTTTGTCCTTCCATTTTAAAAATAACCTGTGTATGTAAGAAACTACACACACACACATACACACACATGCCCCTTTATCCCATATGTTTTTCTTTCTTGGATGAATGGTAGCGTGCCGTGTACGCTTTTCTCCATTTTTCTTTTTTCACCTTAAAAAACATATCTTAGAGATCACCCCATGTGGTAAATAGAGGTCCTATTCCTCATTCCTCACTTAGAGCTGTCCAGAGCGTTCCATTGTATGGATGTATCATGGTTTAGTCCCAGGTTGCTGGACATCTAGGTGGTTTTTCCAGTCTTTTGTTATTGCAGATATGTTGTATTTTGGAGGGGCTGATAGCCTGGTGTATCGGTCACAATATCTGGTCTTGGTTTATGTATTGTATCATGGTAGAAGATTATCCATCAATTCCTATTTTGAGTGCTTAAAAATCTGTCTTTGTCGGTCCTTCACTGGGATAGGTACCTAAAGTGGGATTGTTGGGTCACAGAGTAAGTAAGTGTGTAATTTTTTTGGACTTTATCTGGCTTGCTCACCCAGGTGGTGCCCTTCTGCATTTCTGCTAGCGATGGAACAATGCCTGTTTCTTCGTATTCCCGGAGTGTACCGTCAAACTTACCATGCCTGATGTCAATTTTAAAGTCTGCTACTTTGCTAAATTCTTTCATTGGTTGTGTCAGCTTTTATTATTGATTCTCTTGGGTTTTCCAGGTTTATTGTTATCAATGCCTACAAACAGAGGCAGTCTGACTGTTCTTACATGTCTGGTTTCTTATCTGATTGCCTGAAAGCTTGGATTCAGTGTTAATATTTAGTGGCAATAGTGGTTTTCTTTGTCTTGTTCCTGGCCTGAGTGGGGCAGCCTCTAGTGATTCTCTAGTCACTCAGACATTGGCTTTAGGACTGAGCTTTACATAGTTTTATTGTGTTAACAAATATACATCAATTTTTATTTTTAGTGGTTAAAAAAACCCTCAAGGGTAGGTGTTAAATTTTGTTGAATGCCCCCCCCACCAGTGATATGGAGATAATCACTGGATTTTTTTTCTTTCAGTTTATCTGATAAATTGAACTATCTTTGCATTCATAGAATAAACTTCTTGGTTATGGCGTATTCATTTGTGTGTGTGTGTTTCAATGGTTGTTGTTTGTTAAAGGATGAAGAATGTAGAGAAAAAAACTGGGGGCAGGTAAATTAATGAGCTCTTTCTACTGACGTAAACCTCTACTCATTGGTGTTCTATGCGTTCAAGATAAACTGATTTTTTTCTGGTAATTGTGCTAGGTTTTAAAAGCGTATTCATCAATGTGTGTTTTATTTTCCTATCTGAATCTTTTTAACTGTTTCAAACCTTTAAAGGCAACTAAGCAGCACCAGAGAGCAACAGAACTCTGTAAGGAGTGGCTGTGTTAAGTGGATGGAGCAGAGGCGGGGACGCGGCTACGTGGCTGGCAGCACGGAGCATGACTTGGGGTGTGGATTGTATGCGGTTGGGGCAGTGACAGCCTGTCTCTCACAGGACTTTCTCAGAACCACTCTCCTCTTGTGCTGTGCCACTAACAGGTCCAAGCCCCTAAACTTCCGGACTTTTCTTTCGTATAGGCAGAGAAGAGTGCTAGGTTTTCCGGTGATCGTGCTAGGTTTTATTTTATTTATTAAATGTTGCAATGCCTAAATATATTTTTTAAAGATTTTATTTATTTATTTATTTGAGAGAGAGAGAGAGAGAGCACAAGCAGGGGGAGCAGCAGGCAGAGGGAGAGGGAGAAGCAGACTCCCCACTGAGCAGAGAACCCGATGCGGGGTTTGATCCCAGGACCCTGGGATCATGACCTGAGTTAAAGGCAGAGGCTTTAACCCACTGAGCCACCCACGTGCCCAATCACACTAGTTTTTAAATGGGTTTTCATTCATTCATGTTTCCATGTCCATGTTGCTTGGATTTGAATGTTTCTCCCTTCCTGGAGCCGAGTGCACTGGGCATAGATGAAGTTTGCAGGTCTGAGTTATTTTGACTTCCCCTGTCTGTCTTCCCTCAATGTTCCTTTTTCTCAAAGAGTCATACCCACTGAAACAACACTTTGATTTTCCCGTGGGCAGATTTAATTTCCCAAAGATAGCTGCACCAAATCCCATCCTACGTGCACTTCGTACAGTGTGATGAACATGCCTCGGTGGGGAGGGTGAGGGTCATGAACCTTGGTGAGGGTCATGAACTTTGGTGAGTGCTTACGTTTGCTCTGACCAGCGTAGCCTGGTAGAAGTGATGCCATGTGACCTCCAGGGCTGAGCTATAGAAGAATTGGGCATGGAGTCTCTCAATCTTGGGGTCTGGCCCTAAGCATCCAGGAGATACGGTGGAGGGAGCCCAAACCAGCCCAAGTAGGAAGAACACAGGGAGGGGCCCACATGGAGAGGAACCGAAGTCCCTCAGCCAACAGCCAGTGCCAACCCACAGCCAACCGCCAGATGTTTGAGTGAATGGCCCTTCAGATGATTCCAGGCCTTGGACACTATGGAGTGGAGGCATGCCGTCCCTGTGGCGCCCTGTCCAAACTCCTGCCCCTTTGAATTCATGAGATAATAAATGGTTGTTTTGCACCACTAAATCTTGGGGTCACTTGTTAGTAGCCATAGTAACCACAGGATCACACAAAAGCCATTTATAAATATGTCTGAAATAGATATTTTAGAAAAATGTGTTTAATTTTGGGAGGGATAGGCTAAAAAACCCAGTTTTTCCTTTCATGGGTACAATCAGGCTAGAAAGTAGACTAGATTCCTTTCCCTCGTTAACGCGTGGTGTGTAATCGCTCACCTACGCTGGAAGTTCAGTGACGTCCCCTTGCATAAACAAGTGCAGTTTGATCCATACCAGAATTCGTTTCCAAGACAACCTGACCTCCTTTCTGAGCTGCCAACCTGTGTTTGGAGCTGCCTCTGTACATTTCCACATCCGTATTCTGCAGGTAATAAAATAACATGACAGGTCAGAAACCAAATTCATTTTCCCCATCTCATTCCTCTTCCTCTGTCAGCACCATAGTTTAATCTAGAGACTAGAGGGAAACTCTGACCCTCATTTTCCCATGCATCCCTAGATGCTTGGGGATGGCTGCCACCAAGTCCTATTGCTTCCGGTCCTGTGTTCACATCTCCTCCCTAGGATCCCTGATCATTCAGACCCACCCCCATCTCCCTTCCGCTGTCATCTGCTTATTGGTCCCTGGCTCTCCTTCTCATAGATCCTTCAGCCTGTGGGGTCACCAGGATTTTCAGAGCACAACTCTGTCACTGCCTTGTTTAAAAACGGTTGTGTTTATAGGATCAGAGTCTGGGCTGATTTGTATGCCATTCAGAACTCTTCCTGGCTGGCACTGGGTTCCCTTTCCCTTTCTCTTCTTTAAAATTGATAGGCTTCACTTTTTTTTTTTAAGCGCAGTTTTATGTTTACAGAAAAATGAACAGAAAGTACAGAGAGTTCCCATATAACTCTGGGAAAGCTGGGGCCTCCCTCAGCTTTCTCTGTTATTAACATGTTACATTAGTGTGGTACATTTGTTATAATCCATGAGCCAACATTGAGACATTTATTATTAACTAAAGTCCATCATTTACATTGCGTTTCGCTTTTGGTGTTGTGTATTTTAATGGGTTTTGTCAGATGTATGTAATGACACCTATCCACCATTATATCATCATACACAGTATTTCCTTTGCTCTAAAAATCCTCTGTGCTCCTCCTCTTCATTTATCTCTTCCCGACCCCTGGCAACCACTCATCTTTGCACTGTCTCTAGAGTTTTTTGCCTTTTCCAGAATGTCACGTAGTTGGAATCCTGGTGTGTAGCCTTTTCCGACTGGATTCTTTCACTTAGTAGTTATTTTTTCAGAGTTCGTCCAGGCCTTTTCTGGGTTGGTCGTGCATTTCTTTTCAGTGCTGAAAAATATCCCATGGTCTGGATGAACCATGGTCTAGTTTTCTTTTCATCTATTAAAGGACATCTTGATTGCTTCCAAGATTTGGCAATTATGAACAAAGTTGTTACAAATATTTGTGTGCAGGTTTTTGGGTTTTTTAACTTTCTTTTTTTTTTTTTGGTTTGTTGTTTTGTCTTGTTTTGTTTTTTTAGCCCTTCTTCCCCCCTGTATGCAAGTCTTTGTATGGACATAGTTTTTAACTCATCTGGAATATTTTTTAAAAAGTAAAGTTACTTTTTAATGTAATTTAATGTAATTTTGAATTAGGTAACATGTTCATATGGTTCAAAGATTAAGTGATATTAAAAAGGTTAACCGTGAGCAGTCTTACTACCCCTTATTACCAGTCACTCTGATTTCCATCCCATATAACCCTTCTTATTAATTTCTTACACATCCTTTCAGTGTCTTATGCAAATGCAAGCAAATATGAATATTTAGCCTTATTTTCTTACTTTTTTCATGAAGGTAGCACATAATATATATTATTCTGAAACTGATTTTTAAAAAAAATTTTATTAACATATAACGTATTATTCTAGGGGTACGGGTCTGTGATTCATTAGTCATACACAATTCACAGTGCTCACCATAGCACATACCCTCCCCAATGTCCATCGCCCAGCCACCCCATCCCTCCCACCCGAAATCCCAGCAACCCTCAGTTTGTTTCCTGAGATTAAAA